TCATACGGACACCTGGATCGTAATCAGCGACCCCAAAAACAAAAAGCATTTTGTTTTAAAATCCATTTCTAGCTCACTTTCTAGACAAGAGAATGAAATCAAAATTTGACCTTTTAGATGACAATTTTTTTCCTACAATTGATCTTTAAATGTAGGTTCATAAAAACGGTCAAAACCTATTAGGACGTAAATTTTTTCGCTCTTTCTGAAAAGTTAAGGTGTTTGACCTTAATGATGACGTGGTTGGGTCTTACAGACACCGGCATTGTAATCAGCGACCCCAAAAACATAAAGGTCATTTTCACTTACTTAGAACATTTTCACCTCAATTTCCCTTTGTGGTTCTGTGTTATTTTTTAAAAAATTCATAGAAATAGTTAGTATAATTCTTTATTTTCAACCATTCGGTCCAATACTCACTAAAATAAAGATCTTACGATCAATTTATACAATAAAAATATAAATAAAACTCGGCTAAAAACACAAAAACAAAAAGTATTTAGAAATTAGATTATCAGCTTTTCTTATTAAACTATTCAACTCCGATGTATCCCAAACCTCCATCATCCCACATTCATTTAAAAAAAGTTTGATGACAGAGAATCAATTAAATTTGGAGCTGGCGCCACCTTCCCTGTCCAAGGCCATCAATCTAGTCAAGCACTGACTTGATAACCTTGTATTATCCATATTACTTATCTTATTTATCCAAGACAGTCCGCTTTAGCACGGCACAGGCCAGGTGCAGCCTCCCGGTCTCCAAACGTACTTAGGGTTGTGAGTGATGAAGCGTTTCATTGAGACAATGAAACTTTCATTTGAAAGTTTCAATGTTTCATAAGCGAAAGTTTTATTAATTTCATGAAACATTGAAGAACCAATAATTAAGCTTTATTTGCACATACGCAGTTGTCAGTTTCGGTTAGATAATCTCTAGAAATTTTAGGTTAGTTCGAAACAATTTAATGAAAATTTTTTGTTTACATCCGAAAACACGAGAGTAGTTATGTTAATATTAACTAAAAATTACCTGAAATATTACCTCTAACGAGTGACTTAAAATTAAATTATTAATATATTTTTTAAATATTTATTTTATTTATAAAAATCAAAGAAAGATATTTAAGTAAATAATAATACTTCATGTTTTTGTCGACAATAATATGCGTTAATTATTATACTTTCTTGCATTGAATTTGAAATTTCCCGCTTAAAACTTGAAACTTAGAAATGTTTCATGAAGCATTGAAACTTTCATGAAACATTTCATTTTCCAAAGTTTCATGAAACTTTACAACCCTAAACGTACTACATAATTCGGAGTATTATTTGGGACCCATAGAAGTTTAATATTCTCAAAAACAATAACTGAATCTTTTTTATTAACCCTTTGAGGACTGTTACGAACCGAAAATTATTTGGAAAATTTAATTGAAGAATAAACAATCAAAAAAAATTTAATTTTAAAATTTTACGTTATTAATTACCGAGAGAGCAAAATTTAAGTGCGCGCCTGCGAAGATTCGCCGGAGTAAACCAAGCTGCCAGGGTCGGGTGACCCTGTTTTTATTTTATGGGATCGTTTTTCTCTTTTAAAAGAATTTACCAAGCAACATTTTTCTAATTATATTTATAATAGAAATTAATTAGGATAGAAAAGACAAGAATTTCAAATAAAAGTACAATTTATTTTAATTAAAGAATGAAAGATTATTACATAAAGTACAAAATAAAAGGAACGATACAGTATTTACAAACTCACCCCTCTCCTTTAGATCTAATTTCTTACTCACTACCGCCGGAGTTTTGAGATGCTCGGCGGGCAAAATTTTCAATTGTTTGTAATGTTCTGGGCCCTTAATCTTTGAATAGCTCGAACAAAACACACACAAGAACAATTCACTATTTGGGAATTGAATTCGAGTAATTTTTAATTAAGACGCGAATCAAAATTTAGAATTCTTTTTTTTTCTACTTTAAATTTTTGAAATTGCGAAAATAATTAAAATTAGGTCGCAACGAGTGAAGGCTTACGATGTGTGAGTAGTATGTACTATGCATTGTACACCTGTGTGCGTTTCTCTACAGCTAGCATTGTCCCAAAGAGTTCGTATGTATGTGTGTGCATTGCCACAGCCATCCGAAGATGTGTAGGTCTAAGCGATATAATTACGGATTATTTTATTTCTTTACCTTTAATTCCATTTACTATTTTATTTTATAAAACAATTTCTTTTCTTTTCATTTACACGGGTTCGTAGTTAATTTTAATAATTTTAGGGTTTATTGTTATATTATATACTTTCAAAATTTCTTTTTTTTTTAATATCTTTTTAGTTATGTTGACAACATATCGATTTTACAACAAAATATGCGAATCACAATTATAAAATTACAGCAAAATTTTCTTAGATTATTTCGTTGTCGCGAAATGTGCACACATAACCCATACGTTCGACTTTTAATCATGGAATCGTGTTTAAGTGTTTATAAGATTGTCGTACATTAATTTTGAATTGCGAATGTTGCGACCCAGCGGAAACTGTTCAGGCAGATGCCGCAAGCTTCATTTTACGGTTCGCAACATTCGCAAAATTATTATACATAGTTTTTCAAAATGGAAATGTTGCGACCCAGTGGAAGCTGTTCAGGCAGATGCCGCAAGCTTCGTTTTATGGGTTGCAACATTCGCAACATTGCCGTTTTAGTTTTTCAAATGGGAATGTTGCCGCAAGGTTTATTATCACTTTTAAGTAGCTGCCATTCCGATTTAAGTACTTTTAACAGGTTTTATTCAATATTTCAAGCAGAAAATGCATGTTGTTTCTCCATTTTGCATTTTACGTCAGCTGGAATTGAAGAAGAACAATTTCGGAGAAATTTAGAGTGTTTTGTCGAGGAGAAAAAAAATTAATTATTTTAAATTATAGACAATAATTTGTTTGGAGCTGCATGTTACTGCGCCCATCAGAAATCGTTATTACCGGTAATTAATTATAAATACTGCACATTATTGCAAGTGAAAATTTTATTTTAGTATTCAGTGATTTCCTGAAATTCATAAAATTTATTATTAACTAACCTTTTGTTAGTTATAAAAGAAATATGCTCAAGTAAGCCAACTTTGTTTCCGATGCGATGCTGGCGCAGCTTATGCTTGGTGATATCGAGGATATCACCTTTCAATTATATTACTCGCGAGAAATATTTTATAGGATTATTAAAATAATGTTTAATTTTAATAATTTTTATTTTATTTTATTTTTTTAGCTGTGAGGTTATACCGTAACAAGGACCAGTGTTGCTTTCAGGCAACATGAACATTTTTTTATTAACTCGTGCATAAATTTCCTAATTTTTAAAACTGAATATTGAAACAATAATTTTCACATAGTCTGAAAAATTGCGTATGACAGACACTGGTCTTCAAATAAAAAACTTCAATAACTGTTCCTGAAAAGTTTCCTTAAAAATCAAAAATCGCGATTTTTTAAGAAGAAATTTGGTCCTCAAAGGGTTAAATGAATACAACTTTGTCCCCATACCTAAAATCGCATAAAGCATAATACTCTCAACTAAGAGAGTACAAATATTCATTTACCACTTCGATCTTTTTCTCACCATATTTAAAATACTTAAATTTCATCGAGTTTATTTTATCTTTACTACGGAAAATTGCAATTTGTCTGTATTTACATTCAGTATATTAAGCAAACAGTACTTTCGCAAGGCTTTGAGCTTGTTCGAAAGCTCCAGCGGCGTATCTGATAAAAGCACTATGTCGTCTGCATACGCAAAAATCAGCACCTCAATCTTGTGGTAAATGGCAATCCCTCTTCTACAACCCTTTAATTTAAGAAAGCGTTTTTATAGAAACTCTTCAAAATAATTATAAATTTTTTTGCTCACTCCCTTCGCATGCAACTTTGACCACAACAAAATATGGAAAGCTGAGGGAAAGGCTCTTTTAAAATCAATGTAGGCTGCATAAACCGCACTTCGTGGGTGTCTAAGATGTATAATTTGTATTAAGGCTTGTAGAGTAAACAAATTATCCATACATCCTCTATCCCTCCTACAGCCCGACTGGAACTCAGGAATAGCATCAGTCTCGTCTGTCTGTCCAAGCAATTTACCAATGTTATAGGTCTATAATTTATAGGGTTAGACAAATTCTTTTTATGTAGCATGACGATGGCCATGGAACCTAATACATTGAGGACTTTTTAGTGCCTATTATTTTATTAAACAGATGTTTAAGTTAAAACATCCAGTTTTCCGGTTGTTTTAACGAACGGACTTCATTTTTGATATCAGAAAGCATTATTATCGAGAGATTGGATGTTGATGGATGTGTAGCTGAAAATATTCGCTTTAGAGTTGTGAAGGATGACAGTCAACACTACGATGTAATCGTCGGCTGAAATTATACCGACCTACAGCAAATAGCTTCATATTCCCTTTTAAGTCATTAACGAGAACGTACCAGAAATTAAACCCAATAGGAAAGAGATAACTAAATACGATTTAGCTGAGGACTTACCTCTTAGTATTACTGATACTTATCAACGATTACCGAATGTGAGTCGTTTTGGACATGACGGAACTCGGTTAATAGAGAAAGACTCGGGATTGACCCTCAATTTGAAGAAATGTAAATTCGGAGTAGATCAGGTCGATTATTTGGAGTATACATATATTCGGTAAGGATGGCCTTATTCCCGGAGCGAGAAAGTTGCAAGCCATTACCGAATTCCCTACTCTAAAAACCGTGCATCAGGCGAGAAGTTTTTACGGATTGGACAGTTTTCGTGAAGATAGCTGCGCCTATTAATCGAACTCTTTAGAAAAGACGAAAAATTTGACTGAACGTTAGTACGAGACGAAGCATTAAAAAAAATCAGGTGACTGATAAGCTCTTCTTCGGTATTAAGTTACTACCGCAAAGCCAGCCACACGGAGTTACACACTGACGCGTGCACCAATAGTTTAGGTGCCTTGCTATTTCAGGCTGATAGTAATGGAACGCTACGTTTAATATATGCGATAAGTCGTAGCACGATAGAAGTGGATCGAAATTACCACTCGTCAAAATTAGAGTTGATGACAGGGAATTATACGTAGTTCCACGCGCGATGAGGAAAGCGTTGGTTATTAAGAGTCACGATTTGTCAAGTCACTTCGGAATAGACCGAACCGTTGCACGAATAAGTGAGGTTTACTATTTTCCTAAATTACGAAGTTACGTAAAAAGACACAGCTTTCTGCATTGAATGCTTGTTTGCTAAGCACGGTGTGCCTGAACCAACTGTAAATAACAGCTTTTTTTACTTCAAATTTTTTTCTTGCATTCAATTCAGGAACTCAAGGATAGCGTGTAAAATAATTTTTAGCAAAATTCATCAAACAGTTTATAAAAAAAATGTTTTTTTTGTCAAAAAATCAATTTTTTAAAAAATAAATGTAATAAATAAATGGTATTTGAATAAATTTATTAATATAATATTTTCTATGAGTAAAATTATTTATAAAATTTTTACCAACATCAAAGGAAAAATAAAAAAAAATTATTTCTATTTTGCAGATCATGTGTTTAAAACATTAACATTTTTGAAGCAAAAAGCTTCCAAATTAACATTTTTTCAAAATTTACCTATATTTCGTTACGTTAGGCACATATTAGACAAAAGAAAGATGGAAAAATTTGTATTCTTCCATTTTTACGTCAGAAAGTTTGAGTTTTCCCAGGACAACATGTTTTCAAATTCAAAAGATGCTGGTTCACATGATGAAAACCGAAAAAAAATTTGTTTTTTCTGTTTAAAGAAAAAGGAGAAAATGATAGAAATTAATGATGCTTTAAAGGATCGAGTGAAAAAACTTGTGACTTTCGATGTAGAAGATACTAGTGTTCCTACTGTTATTTGTAATTCTTGCAAAATTCTTGTTTATAGTTCGCTCAAAGATAAGAAATATGAAGCGTATTTAAAAATACCCGATTGTTCCCAATTTGGATTACAATGTTGTAATACCAGGAGCACCGAAGACAAATTATGTAGTTGTAATTTAGTGAGAAAACCGGGGCACATTAACTTCGAAAAAAATAAACCAATAACAAAAAAAGAAGAAAAATTATTGCGCTAAGTGCCGATTAGAAATATTTGTAGGAAAATCACATTTTTGTTGTATAGAGAATTTGGAGAAGCATATTATAAATTATTTATTTACAAAGGAAAAAGAACACTTAGTTTTTCATTTAATTAAAGATATTTCAAGTACAAAAAAGAGAATTAATTCTGAAGAAAATTAATCAGGTAAAATTTAATATAAAAACTTAATAATTAAGTGAAATGTATTGAAATATTTTCCTCTCTCATCTAGGTAAAGATACAATTGCTTTATCTCAAAAACATGGAAAGTCATTAAAAATTTCTTTGAATATTGACCAAGAATCGAAATTTAAAAAAAGAAAAACTTTCTGCTGAAGATATTTCGAGAATTGGAACAGATTGTGACCTTTCAACTTTTTTACAGTACACAGAATTACTTTCGTGTAGCTACAAATAACAGAAAGCTGTTTGAACCAAATTTAAAAGAAAAATGTAACGTGACCAAATCCAAGAATAATCAAATTACAACTGCATCAGAAATTTTAGTTTTTTGCAATAATGTAAACGAATTGATTGATTTTGTTAAAGAGAAAAGGAAAGTTAATGAAGTGTATTTAAAGATTGGTATAGATGGAGGCGGAGTATTTTTAAGAGTTTGTCTTTCGATACAGTCGTCTGCGATCATTGAATCTGTTGGCAATATTATTTGTTTGTTCTGTTTATTATTTTTATTTGGAGGGAAAATCTAATTTTTCTATTGGTTGTTTGGGAATGCGCGCAAATATATTGATAAGGGGAAAGTGAATAGCGCCAAAATAAAAGGAATGAATGTTAGAGAGAAATTAGAGATAGGATGAGTCGGTCGTGTCGAAACTCAGTCCTAAAGAATATTATATATTTATGTGATGGCAGCTAGCTGTAGTTTATTTTCTCAATTTTATAATTATTTTAATTAACTCGACCTTAATAAATAAATTGTTTCATTTATAAATTGTGTTTAATTTATAAATTGTGATATAACCTCGTGTCTAATTGTTATCCAAAAATTAATTGCTAACAAGAATTCAGAAGTGGGATATTAAAAAGCAAAGTTCTGCAAAAACCGGAAAAATAATTGAGGTGTACTCAGAAAATAATTGTTTTTCTTTATATGCTCCTATGTGGTTTGTGTAAGTGTTTTAAGAATAAGTTGAAAACACGTGCAATGTGATAAGGACGTTAATGGCGGAAGAATTCGACAAGTTTCAGAAATCCATTCTTCTGAGAAGTGGTTATAGTGAAAAGATGTCGGAGAGAGAAAGAGCTGAAGCGTTAGCACACGAGGTGGAAAGACAAAAGATGAGGCGAAGAGAGGATAAGACAGAGTATGAACGAGTCTTGGCGGAAAATAGGCTACAAATGGAAACGTTACAAAAAGAACTCACTAGTAACAGTGCTCCAATGGGTGCATCGGCAGCCAATACCCAAGATCTGATGGCAAGTGCGTTACTACTTTTGAATAGTACTTTGCAAGATTTTCAATTGTCCATGCAAACGCAGCATGCAAATATGGGAAACGTTGGCGGGCTACCGGCAGTACAACAAATTTTTGCTGATCCTCGTAGTATTATTATTGAGTTTCATGGTGATGAGGATCCCCAGCAGGCGAAAGCATGGATTGAGGAATTTCAGAATACGAAGACGGTGCATAATTGGAATGATGCGGTGGCGTTCAGTATAATTAAATCGAAAATGCGAGATTCAGCGCTAAAATGGTTTCTCACAAAAACAGAGGCTATAAAGGATTATAACGCATTCATCGTGTCGTTTAAAGCAAACTTTTTGATTGCTCAAAGCAAGACAGAGCAGTTGAAAAATATGATGGCACGAGAGCAGGATCGGCGGGAATCAATTTTGGACTATTTCCACGACAAGGCATGGTTGTGTTCAGAACTAAATTTATCTGTCAAGGAAACTAGAGATGAGATTGCTGCAGGTCTTTGGTCGAGGGAAGCTGCGAGTCATTTATTAGTGCAAAAATTTGAGTCTACAGATTAAATTCTCCAGGAGTTATTACATTTCGAATCAGTGGATAGTCGTCGACGACTCAGGATTGCTGCGAGTAAAGTGGGAGCAGAAACTTCAGGGAGAACACAGTCAAGTGAATACTCATCGAGCGACAGGAGAAGAGAATCACCGAAAAGTTCGGAGCGTTCCGAGCCGTCTGTAAGTTCAGCGTCGAATCAAGGTAAGATGGAAAGAAAATGTTATCGTTGCGGGTCAAGTACCCATATTATACGTGATTGTCCTAAACCCAGACCTGAAATTATTTGTTATATTTGTAAAAAGCCAGGTCACATAGCGACTAAATGTAATCAAAATAAAGAGTCGAAAAATATTCAGCCTAGTGGGGAAATAAATTTAGTTTCGAGTTTAATAAACGATAAATCATTTTCAAAATTTGTTCGACAACTTCAGGTCGGGAATTCAAATTTGACAGCTCAGATAGATATGGGAGCTTCAATGTGCACGATGAGGGCTTCCACAGTTTTAAATGAAAATTTTGAATTAATTCCATTAAAATCAAAACTCGGGGGATTTGGATCTAGTGAAGTGTGTTCTCCAGGTGTAGTAAAAGAAAAAGTAGTGTTGAATAATTTAGTGCCAAAAATGGTAGAATTTAGAGTAGTGCCCGATACTGCACAAGATTATGAGGTAATTTTGGGGAGACCTTTCACGGATGCTCCAGATATATCTTATACTCGTACAGGTAATGAGTTAATTTTTATTAATGTTAAAGAGGATATTTTTGAAAATAATAATGATCTTTCGAGGGTTCGCAGTTCAGAAGAAGTAGAAGTAGAAACGGGAGTTGTGAGTTTTATTAATGTAAAATCTAACATAGGTGATATGACTTGGCCAGTCATGAATTTGGGGGAAGAAGGCGTGCACCTAAAATTGGGTGATAAAGTGGGGAATAAAGTTCTTGTGGTTGAGGAAGCACCGACGCGCATAGGGAGAGAGACGCAAATTGAAGAGGAGGAAGTGGTAACTGATAATTCAGTAACAAGAGAGCAAAGAAACGAAATATTAGAAATTCTCAATGAATATAAAATGTGTATTGCAGATGACGTTTTTCAAATTGGTTGCGCGCAAGATTTTGAAATGGAAATTGAATTGAATGAAGGTACACAACCTCATTATATTAAACCGTATAGGCTGAATGTTAATGATCGCAATGAGTTAGATAAAATAATTTTTCAATACAGAAAAGCAGGAATAATTAAAGATACAAAAGCGGACACAGTAAGTCCAGCATTTATTGTTCGATATTCAGAAGGTAAACCTAGAATGGTCACAGATTATAGATTCGTTAATAAAAATACCAAAAGATTTTATTTTCCAATTCCGAGTATAGAAGAGTTATTAGAAAAATTGCATGGCGCGAAAATTTTTATTAAATTAGATCTGGCGTTAGGTTATCTACAAATGCCTTTAAGTGAAAAATCGAAAGAATTGACAGCTTTCATAACGGAAACGCAAACAGGTCAATTTGAGAGGGCTATGTTTGGGTTGGTTAATGCGCCGATGTATTTTTCGAAATTAATGGATCGGGTTTTGGGAAATGTTAAACGGAAAGGTTTAGCCTTTATGTTTTTCGATGACATATGTTTGTATGCGAAATCATGGCCTGAATTAATGGATAATTTAAAGGAGGTGTTAGAGCAATTAAAAATCGTGAGATTAACATTAAATTTAAAAAAATGTAGCTTCGGTATGAGACAAATTGAATATTTGGGATATATTTTGGGAGAGGGAAAACTTTATCCGGGAGATAGAAAAATAGAAGCGATTAGAGATTTCCCAGAACCAAGCAATAAGCATGAAATAAGACGATTTATTGGTTTAGTAAGTTTTTTTCGGAGATTTATAGTAGGTTTTTCGAAGATTGCTGCACCTATTACTAATTTGTTGAAGGATGAGGAACCGTTTAAGTGGTCAGAGTGTCAACAACAAGCATTTGAATCATTGAAAGGTGCTTTACTCGCTAAACCTGTTCTAAAATTATATAATCCAAAGGCTGAAATTACAGAGTTGCATACAGATGCTTCTTCTGTGGGCTTGGGTGCAATTCTTTTTCAAGCGGATGTTGCGGGAGATAAAAAACAGATGGTGTATGCAATTAGTCGAAAGACCACTGGAGTAGAATCAAAATATCATTCGTCTCGACTTGAATTATTGGTTATTGCTTGGGCACTGAGAAGACTTCGTCCCCTTTTAATTGGAATTCCTTTTACTATTTGTACTGATTGTCGTTTTCTAGTAAATATAAACGCATGGAGAACACAAAGCTCTCAGATCGCGCGTTGGATTAGTGAAATAGCAGAATTTAGTTTTGAAATTAAGCATGTTCCGGGTGAAAATATGAAACATGTGGACGCACTCTCACGTGCTCCTGTGGATGAAAAAGTCGAGAAAATAATGGTTATTGAAACGCGAGAAGAAGAAATTCTCATGTTTCAAAGAAGTGACCAGAAATTAAAGGAAATTATTGATATTTTGAGAAAACCTGAAATTGAGCGAACTAATTTGGAAAGTGATGAGGTAAAAAGTTTGGTTTTAAAAGAAGGGTTAGTGTATAAACAACAAGTTGTTGATAATTCGTTAATTGATTTGTATTATGTGCCAAAAGTAATGAGAAAATCTATCGCGATTCGTTATCATGATTTGTACAGTCACTTGGGGGTGGATAAAACAATAAATCGAATAAAGAATTTTTATTATTTTCCGTATATGCGAAGGTATATTAAAATGCATATTAGAAACTGTCTTGAATGTATTTTGGCGAAAAGAAAGACGGGAAGAAAGGAGGGGGAATTACATCCCATACCTCCTGGTCGTAGACCATTTGATGTTGTACATTGTGACCATGTTGGTCCCTTTCCTTCGACACCTCGTCACAATAATTATGTTCTGGGTTTTATCGACAATTTAACAAAATTCATTACGCTTTTCCCTGTTAGGAATGTAACTGCAAAAGTGACAGTAGCTAAAGCAGAAGAATTAGTTAATCGATTTGGAGCTCCGCGAAGATTAATTAGTGATAGGGGGACGTGTTTTACATCTGAATTATTTCAAAGGTTTTGTTCTAATCACGGTATTATTCGTACACTTAATTCGAGTCGTCATCCTCAAGCAAATGGACTAATTGAAAGATTGAATCAAACAATTCTTCCAATTATGAAAATTGCTACGCAGTCTGATGAACAAAATGATTGGGATCGAAAACTTAAAGAAATTGAGAGAGATTTAAATTCGTCAATAAATAAAGCTTCGGGTAAAACTCCGTTTGAATCACTTTTGGGTTATAATCCTAGATTTAATGAGGGTGAACTTAGATTGATTACTAATGATAATGAAAAATACACGCCTTCTACTGAAGTACAAAAGGTCATAAGGGAAAATATTCTTGAAGAACAATTGAAGTAAAAAAATCGTTATGATGCGAATAAAAACATGAATGTAAAGTATAATGTGGGAGATATAGTTTTTGTCAAGCGAAATACGGAATGTACAGGTTCCTCTACAAAGCTTCAACCATCTTTCACAGGACCGTTTGTTATTTTTAAATGTGAACCAAGTGATACTTATCGAGTTAAAAAATTAAATGAATTTAGAGATCGAAATTATGAAACTGCAGTACATGTGAGTCAGTTGAAGCTTTGGAGTGGGGGAAATTTTCATAATGAGAATGAGGAATGTGTGGAAGATCAAGAAGAATTGTATGATATTGAGAATGAAGGAGTTTATATGAATAGGCAACCGTTAGATGAAGTAAATATAAATGTAAATTTCAATCAGGAACAGAGTGAATCAGAGAATGCAGAAAAGAGTGAACCAGAGCTTAGAAGAGGTAAGAGAAAACATTGTACTTCGAATTATTTGAAGGATTATGAGTTAACCCTTTAACGCCGGGACGGACACTTTTTTTGAATCATTTTCAACGTTAATTATTTTGGTTATTAGACATGTAGAAAATTTTCGGAATAACATTTTCTGACGTATTTTTTATCGCTCTTTCAGAATCTGTCATCAAAATTGCAAAAAACAAAAATTCCTAAAAGTTATGGCCATTTTTTTGGAAAAAAATCCAAATTATTGACATTTTGGATTAAAAAATGATTTTTTTTTCATGTTAGCAGTAACCAGAAAAATTCTTTATCATAAAATATCGCGTACACAATATCTAAGCATCAAAGTTGTGGACCATACAATTAAAAATTTCAAGATGGCGGATCCAAAATGGCGACAAAAGAATTTTTTTTTTCCAAAATTGACACCCTGTGGACTTTTTTTTTAATTCTTCTTTTATCTTCAAGACAAATAATATCTGAATGTTTTTTGGGTCGCTGATTACGAATATGATGTCAGTTTTCAAAAATTCAAAATGGCGGATCCAATATGGCGGACGAAATTCTAAAAAATTATCAAATTCACTTAAAACTTGTTACTCGGGGGTTTTTGGGGTCGCTGATTACGAATATGATGTCAGTTTTCAAAAATTCAAAATGGCGGATCCAATATGGCGGCCGAATTTCTAAAAAATTATCAAATTCACTTGAAACTTGTTACTCGGGGGTTTTTGGGGTCGCTGATTACGAATATGAAGTCAGTTTTCAAAAATTCAAAATGGCGGATGCAATATGGCGGACGAAATTCTAAAAAGTTATCAAATTCACTTGAAACTTGTTACTCGGGGGTTTTTGGGGTCGCTGATTACGAATATGATGTCAGTTTTCAAAAATTTAAAATGGCGGATCCAACATGGCGGCTATTTTTGTAAAATTTATCGGATTTGCGTAAAACATGTTGCTCGGGGTTTTTTTGGGGTCGCTGAAAATGAATATGAAGTCAGATTTTAAAAATTCAAAATGGTGGATAATTTCTTACTTCATTCATTTAGCTGAATGAATTGTCTATTAGTTAGTCTTTGCAGTCAGTTGTTTTACAATAACATTGAATTCCATTTCCTTTAGAAAGTATATGTGACCCCTTCTGAGAAAAGGAACCTTATGGTAAAAAAAAATTTAATTTTTTAAACAAATAAAATATTTTCACTTAAAAAAATTTGAGTTTGTTCATAATGTCCCTGTTCTCAGACGGTCACATATTGTTTCTTACTTTATTAACAACAGCAGAAAGACATGGTTTCTCATACAGCTGCATTGGATTGACTATTATTCAGCATGATTTTATTATATTTATTTTTAACTTTTTTACAACATCCACCAAATATCAGTTCTTCCACAACTGGATTGTTTGTTCTTTTATTGAATTATACTTTCTTTGGCATTTCCTGGATAACTTGTTTTTTTGAATTGAGTTCCATTCTCATTGGTAAGCACATCGGGTATTCCATTTTTTTGGTGAGTATTTTTAATTATTATTTGAATCCTTATTTATTTTATATCATGTTACTATTAATTTCAAGTAATTGAAAATGCCATCTAAAAAAAGGCGTTCTAATGCAACCTCATCATCTAAAGTTGTACAATCTGAGTCAACTGAGCTCTTTGAGAGTGACACGCATATTGATCTAGTACTTTTACCAGATTCAATGAGTTCAGATGTTGAATCTGAAGACGGCAGTGATGATGAGAGTGAAGTTGACTTATCTCCAAGTGATAATGCGATTCTGTCTTACAGGACAGTTTATGAAAGTTACTCTAGTACACAAAAAAAAACTGGAACAAGATCACGAATATAACTGGGTCTCTGGGGAAAAGACTGATAATCGTGTACGGGAAAATCAGCATCTTCTAACAGATGCACAAAAGAAAAAGATCTGTAACAGTACTCCAGTAGAACTTTTTGAAACTTTTTTTCCAATGAAATGAAAAATTATATTATTGCTGCCTCATGCGAAAATGGTCTGCATATTACATTGAAGGAGCTAAACGCATTCTTAGGAATAGTAATTTTGACTACTTTTAACACAAGGACATCAGAGAGAGATTATTGGTCGAAAAGTTTGCTACTTGAATGTCCTATAGTTAGTTCAACAATGTCTCGTGATCGATTTTTACACATCAAAACAAACTTGAAGTGCTCTAAAGTTAAAGATAAAAATCCTAATGACGCAGCCTGGCGAGTTCGAGCTATTTTGGATTTGTTTGCAAAAACAATTACATCCTTTGGTTTTTTCGAAACAGCACTATCCGTCGATGAAATGATGGTTAAATTTTACGGTCGTTTGAATATAAAGCAATATATTCGAAACAAACCAGTCAGATTCGGAGTAAAAATGTGGGGTTTGTGCGGCGCCGATGGCTTTTTATTTAAAACTGACATTTATTGCGGAAAAAATGGCAAAAATTCCAGTAATTTAAATTCCTGTGCTTTGGGAAGCCGAGTTGTTCTGAATATGGGGCAAGATCTACTGCTTAATACTATTCCCAAAAAGTTAGATAATTATCATATTTATTTTGACAATTTCTTCTGCAACCCCGATTTGATAGTCCATCTAAAAAAAGTTGGTGTAGTTGCAACTGGCACAGTGAGACAAGATAGGGTAAAGGAAAAGAACACCATCGATGTAAAATCATCTAGAGGCACTCACTGCTTGAAGCATGATACAAATAGCGGAGTAAATTATATTACGATTATGGACTCTAAAATTGTATCAATGCTTTCAACAGCTGTAGGAGATAGTCCACTGAAAAGCGTTAAGCGTTACTCTAAAGACAAAAAAGATAGGGTTGAAATACCAATGCCAGCAGCATTTGCTCTGTACAATAGATTCATGGGAGGAGTTGATATCCATGATCAGTACTGTAGTAAACTTTTACCTTCACTAAGAAGTAAAAAATGGACATGGCCAGTACTGATGAGATTGATTCAGTCCTCCATTACTAACGCAGTAATAATTTTTAATGCTGCACAGTTGGAGGGCAAAAAATCAAGTGCAAAAGAATTTGCAATGCAAATTGCAGAAAATTATTTAGCTCAATCTTCCTCACGTTGGAAATCACATGAATTGATGACACATGAAAAAAAAAAGAAATTGTAGTGGCGACAAGTGTCCAACAAGAACACAACTATTTTGTGAAAAATGTGGCTCATATTTTGCTTCCTCATAAAGGAAGCCTTATAGTGATGTCGATTTCCGAATTTTTTAGAACCAATTATTTTTACAAATTTTCAAGTGTAGTATATATAATTCGTCGAAAGAAACAAATGTCCGGATGTATGTGTGTATGGATGTGTGTGTGTGTATGTTTTGACATTTTATCTTAACACTTTAAAATAATTATTCTAAAATAAAAAATTAAACAATTGGTATATATTATATTGAGGAAGCTTAATGATCATGAAATGAACAACTTGTTTGTAAAGTATGTTTTAAAAAAACCCATACAAATTAGATGATTGCGTTTCTCTCTAACTGATATGAATATTAAAAATTTTGTGAAAAATGTGGCTCGTGTTTTTGAAAAGTATGTTTTTAAAAAAAGCATGCAAATTAAATGATTGTGTTCCTGTCTAACTTATATGAAAAAACAAAAAAAATACAAAAAAATACAAAAATATACAAAAAAATACAAAAAAAATACAAAAAAATACAAAAAATACAAAAAGTACAAAAAAATACAAAAAATATTAAAAAAGTACAAAAAAGGAAGACTCTTGACTGTACGTTTACCTCCTCGTGGTTTGAGTCGGACAACATTGAAATATTTTTAATGGCTAAAGAACGTATAAACTTTTAAAACAATCTAATCTTTCTCTGAAATTTTCACTACCATATTGAATTCGAAATATTGAATTTTTAAAATCTGACTTCATATTCATTTTCAGCGACCCCAAAAAACCCCCGAGCAACAGGTTTTACGCAAATCCGATAAATTTTACAAAAATAGCCGCCATGTTGGATCCGCCATTTTAAATTTTTGAAAACTGACACCATATTCGTAATCAGCGACCCCAAAAACCCCCGAGTAACAAGTTTCAAGTGAATTTGATAATTTTTTAGAATTTCGTCCGCCATATTGGATCCGCCATTTTGAATTTTTGAAAACTGACATCATATTCGTAATCAGCGACCCAAAAAACATTCAAATATTATTTGTCTTGAAGATAAAAGAAGAATTAAAAAAAAGTCCACAGGGTGTCAATTTTGGGGGAAAAAAATTCTTTTGTCGCCATTTTGGATCCGCCATCTTGAAATTTTTAATTGTATGGTCCACAACTTTGATGCTTGGATATTGTGGACGCGATATTTTATGATAAAGAATTTTTCTGGTTACTGCTAACATGAAAAAAAAATCATTTTTTAATCCAAAATGTCAATAATTTGGATTTTTTTCCAAAAAAATGGCCATAACTTTTAGGAATTTTTGTTTTTTGCAATTTTGATGACAGATTCTGAAAGAGCGATAAAAAATACGTCAGAAAATGTTATTCCGAAAATTTTCTACATGTCTAATAACCAAAATAATTAACGTTGAAAATAATTCAAAAAAAGTGTCCGTCCCGGCTTTAAAGGGTTAAAGTAAAATTTTTAATTTTTTTTTTTTTTATGTTGGAGGACCAACAAATTTTAGGATGGCCGAATGTTGGCAATATTATTTGTTTGTTCTGTTTATTATTTTTATTTGGAGGGAAAATCTAATTTTTCTATTGGTTGTTTGGGAAAGCGCGCAAATATATTGATAAGGGGAAAGTGAATAGCGCCAAAATAAAAGGAATGAATGTTAGAGAGAAATTAGAAATAGGATGAGTCGGTCGTGTCGAAACTCAGTCCTAAAGAATATTATATATTTATGTGATGGCAGCTAGCTGTAGTTTATTTTCTCAATTTTATAATTATTTTAATTAACTCGACCTTAATAAATAAATTGTTTCATTTATAAATTGTGTTTAATTTATAAATTGTGATATAACCTCGTGTCTAATTGTTATCCAAAAATTAATTGCTAACAAATCAGAGATTGAAAATATAAAATGTAGACAGGAATATACTGATGGTCCAGTGGTGAAGAATTTTACGGACTCAGGTGTAAAAAAATTGCTACTGCTAGGAATAATTGCACATACACAAAAAAACTATAAAAATGTTTCATTATTGTGGTCATTTCTGAATATTCAAAATTTAAGAGCAACCATAGCTACCGATTTAAAACTTGCTAACATTTTAGCGGGAATTATGTCACACGCCAGTAGTTTTTCTTGTACATGGTGCACTGCTTCAAAAAATGAATTACAAAAACGTGGAGACTACAGTACAATGTGTAACATGCGTATGTAACATTGGTTGCTTAAAGTACGTTAAATGTTTTGAAGATTTTCGATCTGTTGTAAATTCATGATTTTCTTCGATTTTAAAACCGAATTATTTAGAATGTATTTCTGCGTTTCAAAGAAGTTATTGTGATTTGAACATCCCAATCACTCCTAAAATCCACGCCATATTTTTTCATGTCAGTGAGTTTTGTAGCAAAGCAGGAAGATCGCTTGGATTTTTCGATATTTCGTATTTTACGATATGTAAACACTGGATTTCTTTATATATTTAAAGATAAAAACTCTTATTTTTAGTTCATTTGCAATACTTCTTTTTTCCATAACATTTTTAAGAAAAATTATTTTATTAATCGACTTGTTTTCATTATCAAATCGACATAATCGAATCGAATGCAAGAAAAAAATTTGAAGTAAAAAAAGTTGTGATTTAAAGTTGGTTCAGGCACACCGTGTAAGCATAGGGCCGGAAAAAAAGTTGGTGAATTGAATCCGATCTTAGTGGGTGATCGACTTTTTGCGATTGTACATCTGGATCACTTTAGGTCCCTTTGTAACTATAGCGATTTGTAGATTGACGAAGTTCTGCCAATTATACGCAGTGCGAATCACAAAAGCGGCTACGGCTGTTCGAAAAATCGATGAATTTGTAAATCGTAATTTATTCCTCGATATAATATGATAAAGTGCGTATAAGCAAATTTAAATATTTGTTTGAGAAAGGTTATACACCAAATTGGACTACTGAAATATTTAATGTAACTCATGTAAAAAATGCTAAACCATTAACGTACCAACTTGAGGATTATCAGGGAAATCCAGTAATTGGTGGGTTTTATGAAAAAGAACTTACTGAAGTCAAATATTCTAATATATATTTAATTGAGAAAATACTCAAAACGAAGTAGAAAGGTGTTTGTAAAATGGTTAGGTTTTGATAAATCACACAACAGTTGGATTAATGAAACTGATTTGTAAGTTTTATACATATATAATTATTTATTGTAATTAGAATATACACTACCTGTCAAAATTGAGAGATCAACCATTTTCAGGTGATTGAAAAACATTTTAAAACATAAAATGTATGGAAACTAAAATATTTTTATTTTTTGAAAGATGATAAAATTTTGAAAAGAACAAGATCTTTTAGAAGTCATTTGGCCAATATTTTATTTAGATATTTTTAAAAAATCGTCATTTTCAATGTCTTACAAAAATTTGAATAACTTCTAAAATAATGAACGCTTCTTAATGATCTTAAGCTTATTTCAAAGGTCATTTGCAACACTATAAGAATTACTTATAGGCATTAACGTGTAATTTTTTTCTTAGAAAATGCACACTCTAAATCTGAATCAGTGAAAATTTCACTGATTTCAATTCAGTGACCCAGTTTTCTTTGATGAATTAGTGGAATTTCACTGACAATCAGTGGCTTTTACTGATTCTCAGTGAAATCCCACTGGTGAATAAAAGAAAACTGGGCCACTGAATTAAAATCAGTTAAATTTCGAGACGCATGCTTATTCCCGAAATTTTGTTTGACCAAATAGTTATTTGATATAAAACTACTTAACTTAAAATTCACATAATATGCACATTATTTGACATAAATTTCATTGTACACAAAAACCATTTAACATAAATATCATTTGTCAAAGAATTCATTAAACAGAAATATTATGTTACATAAAACTCAGATAACTTAATTCCCATTTGACATAAAAATTATGTAACATAAATTTCTATTGACATAAAAATCATTTAACATGAATTTCTTTTGACATAAAATTCATTTAACGTAAATTTTATTTGTTACAAAATTCGTTTGGCATCAATTTCATTTGGCATAAATGTCATTTAACGTAATTCTCATTTGACATAAATATCATTAGACATAAAATTAGCTTGACATAAATTTCATTTGACGTGAATGTCATTTAACATAATTATTATTTAACGTAAAATTAAATTTATATAAATTTCATTTAGCATAAATTCCATTTAACATAATTCTCATTTGGCATAAAATTTACTTGACATAAATTTCATTTGTTATAAATCCCATTTTACATCCCTGTCGAAAAAATTGGAACAAAGAGCGTTTAAATAGTGTTTTATAAAATGTTTATTGCATGTGAATTGCGTGTTTAAGAACACAATAAATGTGTTTGATGCGTGTATATTGGAACGTTTCAGTGTTTCATAAACACTTATTTCATTAGTCAGTGAACTTAATGTTCTCAAAACACTGTATGAACCCTGTTATGTATGTCAGAAAAGTGTTTAATGAGTGTTCTTACTGAATGTTGGAAATGTGTTTTAATAGTATTGTATGAACCATTTTCAAACTACGAATTCTATGCTTAAATTGTGTTCATACTGTGTGTAATCGTATAAGTGTGTTTCAAGATAGTGCATTCTGTGTTTAACTAGAATAAAACTATTTTCAAACACTTATTAAACCTTCTATTGTTGGTCACATTTTCGACAGGGATCATTTTCATTTGACATAAAGTTCACTTGATATAAATTTCATTTGACGGATAACTCATTACAAATAATTCTCATTTGACATAAAATTCAGTTGTCATAGATTTTATTTTACATACAGATCATTTGACATGGAAATATAGGCGCGAATTTCAAAATTATCGAATCACAATGTTGTTGATAATATCTAATTGGTTACTTTTAAAATTCGCGCCGATATTGTTATGTAAAATGTTATTTGTGTAAAATGATTTTTATGTCAAATGAGAATTTTGTTGAATGACTTTTATGTCAAATCTGATTTATGTCAAATGACTTTTATGACAAATGAACTTTATGTCAAATGAAAATTATGTAAAATGGGATTTATACCAAATGAAATTTATGTCAAGTAAATTTTATGCCCAATGAGAATTATGTTAAATGGAATTTATGCTAAATGAAATTTATATAAATTTAATTTTACGTTAAATAATTATTATGTTAAATAATATTCACGTCAAATGAAATTTATGTCAAGCTAATTTTATGTCTAATGATATTTATGTCAAATGAGAATTACGTTAAATGACATTTATGACAAATGAAATTGATGTCAAATGAATTTTATAACAAATAAAATTTACGCTAAATGAATTTTATGTCAAAAGAAATTTATGTTTAATGATTTTTATGTCAATAGAAATTTATGTTACATGATTTTTATGTAAAATGGGAATTAAGTTATCTGAGTTTTATGTAACATAATATTTCTGTTTAATGAATTCTATGACAAATGATATTTATGTTAACCTTTAAAGTGCTAAGTGTTGAAAAATCACGCTCAGTGCTAACCCCGGTCTGTCAGACCGCTATTCCCTTTTGACAGTTTCTTAGTCATTTATAATTTTTAAAAGATAACTATTATAAATATTTTTTACTTTTTAACAAAAAAAGTCATTTCTGTATTATGCATTTATTTATTTTATAAATGCAGTCTATGAGAACTGTCAGTAGAACTAGCTGCGCGTCAAGTTGCGCAGACGTTACTCATGGGAATATACTGGAATATACTTTCACTTAAAGCTAACCCCGGTCTCACAGACCGCTATACCTCAAATATTTATTTATATTACAAAATTTAACTAATAAAAATTTTTGAAAAAGTTGTCTCCTAACAGATTTTCATAAAATATGAAGCTACTAAAAAGTTCAAGTTCTTATTATACTTTGAAAAAAAGTTACAAGCAAAGAAAATTTTAATAGCGGTCTGCCAGACCGGCATAGCACTTTAAAGGTTAAATGGTTTTTGTGTACAATGAAATTTATGTCAAATAATGTGCATATTATGTGAATTTTAAGTTAAGTAGTTTTATATCAAATACCCAGCGGGCACACTTCTCTTTTTGATAACTTCAAGTTATCGTTTTGAGTAGATGTTAACATTTTAATGCCTTTTAGTTATCGTGTGCCCCTTGGGTAACTATTTGGTCAAACAAAATTTCGGGAATAAGCATGCGTCTCGAAATTTCCACTGATTCAGATTTAGAGTGCAGGCCGTCAAACTTGGACCAAAAAAATTCAAAAAATTTGGAACAATTTTTCTGTACTAAAAACTATTTTAGAAAATATATAAAACATTATTTGGTGTAGATGTTTTAAGAAAATTTAATAAAAAAATACGTTTGAATTTTAAAAATTATTTTTTTGTTAATAAGAATGTTTCAATTTTTTTATATTTTTTGGTTCAAGTTTGATGGCCTGCATTTTTTAAGAAAAAAATTACACGTTAATGCCTATAAGTAATTCTTATAGTGTAGCAAATGACCCTTAAAATAAGCTTAAGATCATTAAAAAGCGTTCATTATTTTAGAAGTTATTCAAATTTTTGTAAAACATTGAGAATGACGATTTTTTAAAAATATATAAATGAATTATTGGCCAAACGACTTCTGAAATATCTTGTTCTGTTCAAAATTTTATCATCTTTAAAAAAATGAACAGAAAAAAATGTTAGTTTCAATAAATTTTGTTTTAAAACGATTTTCATTCGCCTGAAAATGGGTGGTCTCTCAATTTTGACCGGTAGTGTACTTTTTCATAAAATAACAAGTATATTTTTTAATTTTATCCCTTTTTTCAATGTAGTACATTAAAATCACATGAAAAATACAGATATTAATATAAAACAAATAATAAAATATGTGTAACTTTTACAAAAGAAAAAATATAGTAAAGTGTTAGTAATATTATGAAGAAGATTAGAATGACTATATAAATTTTAACACTTAAAATTTAACACTCCAGTTTTCTCCGTGTAACGTTTTTAAATGTTTTATTTGAAGTACATTTTTAACGTTTATCAACAATATTATTGACAATAATATCTATTGTTCACATAAACAAATTTAACCTATTCTTCAATCTCTATGTGCTATTAAAAATACTCAAAATTTAAAGTCGTTCACGTTTCAACACAAAGAGGTAAAAATATTTTTATATTATATTTATTTTTAAAAGCACACAATGTAATAAGGTTTCAAGTTATTCCTTTTTTCATGACAAAATGAAAAAATCTCCAAAACTTTATGTTACTGATATATTAAAAAAACAGTTCTTTGAACAGTTACTATTTAGTTTTAATCATGGAACACAAAATTTTATTTACATGTAATGCATTCTTCAGTACTAGAGGAATTAGTCATTTTGAGTTTGATTTTAAAACTTTAAAATTTAATTTCTAAAAGTGAGTGCTGGATAATTGGGTGCCAGTTTTAGCTTTATATAATTGTACATATGGTGGATATCACGTCAAAACTCCACCCAAAAAAAAAATGTTGTCCAATTATTCCCAAATTTTTTTTATGATATGCCCTATAGGTTAGTAATTTATCATATAAATTTTTTTGAATTTTATAAAAAATTGTCCAAGGGGGAGGGGGTAGAAGTTCTGAACTTTTGCGTGACGCGCTCCACTTTGATTATTTCTTATAATTAGAGGAAAAAATTTTTAAAAAAATTAGAATATGGGTTTTTTAGATTTTTTCATGGGCTTTCGAATGGCAAAGTCTATTTTCAAAAATTTTTTTATTTTGACATAAATTTTGAAAAAATAAAAATAAATTTTCACTTTTCGCATCTTTGGGTTCATTTTTTCTTTTTCCTTTTATTTTTAAATGAAAGCTGAGCTTTTTTCTGATGAAATACTTGTTTTCCAAAAAACCGTTTTTTTTTGTTTTCGAGAAATGAATTTTTGAATATAGCGCATCACGTCGTCGCGCCGCAATTTAATTTATAAAACGTTACAATGAACTATTTTCTGCATTTTACAGGGTTGAGACTGACATTAGAACAATATAATGCCTGCATTATAGTTTTTTTTTATTTTTTTAAATTAAAAAAAATATTTATTTTTTAAAATTTTTAACAAAATTTAAAAAAAATTTTTTTTAGACTTTTATTTTTAATTTAATGCCTACAATTTATTTATTTTCATTTCTAAAGTAAAAAAAAGCGAACAGAAAAATAAAATACAGGCATTAAATTAAAAATAAAATTGCAAAAAAATTTTGTTAAAAATTTAAAAAAATAAATATTTTTTTTAATTTAAAAAAATAAAAAAAAACTATAATGCAGGCATTATATTGTTCTAATGTCAGTCTCAACCCTGTAAAATGCAGAAAATAGTTCATTGTAACGTTTTATAAATTAAATTGCGGCGCGACGACGTGATGCGCTATATTCAAAAATTCATTTCTCGAAAACAAAAAAAAAACGGTTTTTTGGAAAACAAGTATTTCATCAGAAAAAAGCTCAGCTTTCATTTAAAAATAAAAGGAAAAAGAAAAAATGAACCCAAAGATGCGAAAAGTGAAAATTTATTTTTATTTTTTCAAAATTTATGTCAAAATAAAAAATTTTTGAAAATAGACTTTGCCATTCGAAAGCCCATGAAAAAATCTAAAAAACCCATATTCTAATTTTTTTTAAAATTTTTCCCTCTAATTATAAGAAATAATCAAAGTGGAGCGCGTCACGCAAAAGTTCAGAACTTCTACCCCCTCCCCCTTGGACAATTTTTTATAAAATTCAAAAAAATTTATATGATAAATTACTAACCTATAGGGCATATCATAAAAAAAATTTGGGAATAATTGGACAACATTTTTTTTTTTGGTGGAGTTTTGACGTGATATCCACCATATTAAAAGTAAAAAAAATTCAAAACAAAAAAGTTATAAAGTTTAAAAGTCATAAAAATGAGATTCAGAACTAGACAAAAATTAATTAGTATTATTAAAGCAGTAAAAATAAGGAGTAACGTGAAATCGACCGATTCCGTAGATTTTCCCATATTTTTAAAAAACTTATTTTTTAATTATAACAGTACCTTTAAAATTTTTATACTTTTTATATTCAACTTTCATGACTTGCATTTTCTAAAGAAATGCATATGTCGATAAATATACTTGTAAAAAATCTCAATTCTAAAAAAAATACCAGAAAATTGAGTTTTTGTTACATATTTGATTGGAAAAATAATATTTTTTTGTCTTTTGAGGCGTCTTTATTCAGAATTTTAGATATTATTTCTTTCAAATTAAAAGTTATTAGTCATCAGAAGAGTAGATATTTTGAATCGGCGTAAAATGACGCAGATTTGAATGTTTTATATTTATATTACAAAGTTGAATTATTAGTTAATTTGAAGAAGTTTTAAGTTCTTAAATTTTGATTTTATAATTAAATCTATAATTTTATAATTAAAAAATTTAGAATCTGTGATATTTCATACTTTCAAATATTTAAAATTTATTCTAAAATCATAAATTTAGAGAAATTAGAATTCAAATATGATCTGTTTGGTTCACAAATGATTCATGATTCTTCTTTATTGGAAGAGGTTCTTAAAATCTATAAAAATTAACTAATGAAGGTTTTTTTTACCTGTACGTATCCAAAAGATAAAAATGGACTTTGGAGAGGTGATAAATCAATCCATCTTTCAAATTCTTCATATTCTCCATAACACTCAATAGGAATTTTACATTCTCCGAGCCACTGCATACCCCATATTGGATGTTGATCAAATAGTCGTATATCAATATATTTTTGATCGCAAATTTTAAGTACCGGAAAAGAAAGAACTTGATGCCATACAGGAGCTGGCCCATCTGCTGGTAATGTAGATCGAAAAGTATCGCCCCATTGAATTTCTATTAAGGGTTCAACCGTTGCAGATTCTTCTCTTACAGGAACTTCAACACCTCTTAGAATAGTAATTGAAAGAACAGGTTTTTTATTAATGTAGCTTCTTGACATCTCTTGAAGTTCTACAGACTTTTTGCCTTGAATAAAATTTCTAAGACCCAATAATGACATATTACTTTCAGATACTGATATATTTGAAGACTTTGACTGATTTTTTTCTTGTATATTTTCTTTTCTAAAGATGTCTTTAAGTTTTAGAGCATAATGGTCTAGTAATAAATATCCTACATTCTTTTGAACTAGAGCACTTGGTCGGAAGTAAAATATATTATGACTAGGATCATTCGGATCATTTACTATAGGATAAATATACGTTTGCTCAACTTCAGAATACTGTTCTTGATTAGATGACGATACAGTATAGTGAATAGTACCAGAATGAAAATTTCCAAAAGCATCATCTATTCCAAATTGTGTTTCAATTTTCATATTCTTTTCATCAACTTTTGGCAAGTAAAGTGGAAGTGTACTGTGAATTCCCCCTTGAGCAATTATTTGAATAGCCAAATAATTATAATTTAATGATTTACTTTGAAACAGCAATTTATGAATTTTTCGATTAAAGGGATATTTTGTTTTACAAATTACTTTATTTTCTAAAATAATTGCAATTGCTGTAATTTTTAACTCTGTTTGAACATGATGAATTTTATCTAATTGTACATCATGAAATGTTATTTCTACTAATTTACTAAAATTCTTAAATTTTTTTAAAATGTTTAATTTTGATTCTTCGTTTTGAAAATAATTTACAACATTATCTGCTGATAAATGCTTCAAACTTATGTAAAAACCATCATTTCTCAAATCCTTGTTGTCATTTTCTAACCTATGTCTGAATCTATTAGCAATTAATATTACACTTTTATCATTAACATCTTTTATTTTCGGTCGTACACATTGAAGATCAAAATTGTAATCACTCGTTTTTGTTGAAGAATTTTCATCTATTACTTTGGTGTTCATTTCGAATTTATCACTTTTATTTTTATTCGTTTAAAAAAGTTTAAAAATTCGTTTATCAACTAATTTATAATATTTAAAAAGTAAAAATTCACTGTTATACCCTATGCAATTGACCGCCTATACTAGTAGTGACTGCACGTGTGTAAACAGTACAGCTTTGTTTTGATGCTATGAGTATCCATGGTAACATGACGAACGCGCATAGTACAAAGAAACATTGTATAGAAAGTGATACCAACATTTTTTAATTTACTTTATTTAATGCATTTACAAGAAATGTAGATTCCATTGAAGACAATTTTTCATCTTTGAAAAAACCACCTAAAAATAAAAATTTATTAGATTGACTCGAAACTTCGATAAATTATATTTAGATCTATATAAGAGGCATTATTCCTGAACTGCCCCAAAAATAAAAAAAAGTTCTTGGATTTCCTTTATACTTTGGAAATATGTTACCCTAGTAGGTACAAGTTACTACACCAATTTAAAGGTCCAACCCCCCACCCCAATCAAAAGGGTGGGGGGTTGAAATTTCAGCTTCAACTCGAACATGCATTCTTTAAACATTTGTAGTTTCTACTTAAATTATTCAATTAAAAAAAGTAAGTAGTGTTTTAGAAAGGTTTTTTTGTGTACTTTTAAAATATTTTATTTATATAATAAAAAAAAAATTTTTTTTGCAAAAATTTTTTAAAATAAATAGTTTTTTGCAATTTTGTGCAAGTTCGGTAGTTTTTATTTTCTTTTTAATAATCTCAAATGAAAGCTTGGGAATTCCCCTAAAAGAAGATATAAGTCTGAAAATGGGCCGAAACAATTTGCCAAAGATATAGTGTAATAAGTAAAATTTGTCCGTCCGCTCGCGCACTCCAGCGCGATGAACAGTGGGATTTTTTTTCAACTTACTATTGAAAATTGTCTAGAAACTACAAATTTTATCGGATGTTGATGTTCTTGATTTAAAATTACTAAGAGATCCATCAAAGTCGATTTTTGAATTTTTAATTGTTTATTTTTTTCTTGTTACTCAAAAATTTGACAAATTACAATATTTTTAGAAAAAATCATGTTAGTTTTTTTATTTTTCCATTACACATGATCGAAATCAATTTAAATTAATCTAGTATGACCACCGGACAATTAATAAAGCATAATTCAATTTATTTAAATTGTTGCAAACAATGTTAATTAACAAATAGATTACTTCGGACCTTCTTCATAAAAAAAATTGGTTTTTTTGCAGACAAGTTTAAATTTATGTCTAATTTAGTAAAAAACTATTTTACAGTTAAAAATTATCATTAATATTAACAATTATATAAACAATAATCAACTTCCTTTTGTATTTGTAAACATTTTCGTCATTTTTCAAACTTTAAATATTTATATCATATGTACATTCTTTCAAAAACTTAAAAAATTTATTTGCTTAAACAATTACATTTGTTATAAACAAATTTTTCATTTTTAAACAAATAATAGCTTTTTTCATCATCAAAATTTTTTCCTTTTTTAAAAAAAAAAAAAATTTTTTTTTAAAAAATATATTTATTCATAATAAATATATTTTTTCTGTGAAAAAAGAACAAAGTTAAATATTTGTTAACTTATAATGTTCGTTAGAATTAAATGAATAATTTATAGTATTCCCATTTCATTAAGGAGTTCTTTTTTATGATAGTAAATATAAAAAAGGAAAAAATTTTGTTTGATGAAAAAAGCTAATTATTTGTTTAAAAATGAAAAATTTGTTTATAACAAATGTAATTGTTTAAGCAAATAAATTTTTTAAGTTTTTGAAAGAATGTACATATGATATAAATATTTAAAGTTTGAAAAATGACGAAAATGTTTACAAATACAAAAGGAAGTTGATTATTGTTTATATAATTGTTAATATTAATGATAATTTTTAACTGTAAAATAGTTTTTTACTAAATTAGACATAAATTTAAACTTGTCTGCAAAAAAACCAATTTTTTTTATGAAGAAGGTCCGAAGTAATCTATTTGTTAATTAACATTGTTTGCAACAATTTAAATAAATTGTAATATGCTTTATTAATTGTCCGGTGGTCATACTAGACTAATTTAAATTGATTTCGATCATGTGTAATGGAAAAATAAAAAAACTAACATGATTTTTTCTAAAAATATTGTAATTTGTCAAATTTTTGAGTAACAAGAAAAAAATAAACAATTAAAAATTCAAAAATCGACTTTGATGGATCTCTTAGTAATTTTAAATCAAGAACATCAACATCCGATAAAATTTGTAGTTTCTAGACAATTTTCAATAGTAAGTTGAAAAAAAATCCCACTGTTCATCGCGCTGGAGTGCGCGAGCGGACGGACAAATTTTACTTATTACACTATATCTTTGGCAAATTGTTTCGACCCATTTTCAGACTTATATCTTCTTTTAGGGGAATTCCCAAGCTTTCATTTGAGATTATTAAAAAGAAAATAAAAACTACCGAACTTGCACAAAATTGCAAAAAACTATTTATTTTAAAAAATTTTTGCAAAAAAATTTTTTTTTTTATTATATAAATAAAATATTTTAAAAGTACACAAAAAAACCTTTCTAAAACACTACTTACTTTTTTTAATTGAATAATTTAAGTAGAAACTACAAATGTTTAAAGAATGCATGTTCGAGTTGAAGCTAAAATTTCAACCCCCCACCCTTTTGATTGTGGTGGGGGGTTGGACCTTTAAATTGGTGTAGTAACTTGTACCTACTAGGGTAACATATTTCCAAAGTATAAAGGAAATCCAAGAACTTTTTTTTATTTTTGGGGCAGTTCAGGAATAATGCCTCATAAATGTAAAATAATTTTTTTTTAAATTTCTAAACCTATTTTTTTATAAAATTAACCACTCTTAATTTTTAACCCCTTACTTCAATAATAGATTTACTACAAAATGTAAAAATACATTTTTTCGCACTATAAGCACAAATAGTTAAAAACTTGAAATTTTCAGAAATAATTTAATTTAGGTATGAAAGTTTTAAACCAAAAAACTTTTTACTGTGAAGAAAATAATAATAATTAAATATTTTTTTCAAAATAATATATACCTAAGTAAAGAATAATTTTATCTGTAATTCTGAAAAAATTAGTTCTTTGAGAAATTTTAATTCAATTTTTTATAGATACTCAAAATTTTTGTTATAATTTTTATTAAAGAATTTGAATTTAAAAATTGATAAATAATGATATTTTACATTCAGAATTGAATGTATTTATATGTTTATTAGTATAGAAAGTATGTATAAAGGGTACAAATTTGTACCTAAAATTTTTTTTATTTTAATATAAGAGTTGCAATTAAAATTTTTATCAATTAGTTAGCTTTAAAAAGATTTTAATTACCCAAGTTTTATGAATTCTTGAAATTTAATGTTTTCAAAAACAGGGGTGCGTTTACGTAACTTTCACTTTCACTCAAAAATTTTTAATTTTAATTTTCCTTATAATTTCACACTTTCACCCAAAATATTTCCACTTCCAACTTCACTTCAAAATAAAAAATTTTTCAAGTGGAAGTAAAAATAATTTGGGTTAAAGTGAACATTTTTTGAGTGATAATGAGAATTTTTTTGAGTAAAAATTAAAGTAATTTAATCAAAGTGAAAGTAATAATTTTTTTAATGAAAGTGGAAATTTTTAGAAAAAGTAAATTTTTTTGAGTGAAGTCGACATTTTTTACTGAAAGTGAGAATTTTTTCAATGGATATGAAAATTTTTTTAAATGAAAGTGAAAATTTTTTTAGCGAAGATAGATATTTTTTTTAAGTGAAAGTAAGAATTTTTTTAATGAAAGTGGAAATTTTTTAGGAAAAGTAAAATGCTTTGAGCGAATGTGAACATCTGAGTGAAGTCGATTTTTTTTTACTGAAACTGAGGATTTTTTTTAATGAATGTGAAAATTTTTTGAGTGAATGTGACAATTTTTTGAGAGAAAGTGAAATGTTTTTGAGTGAAACTGAACTTTTTATAAGAAGTCAAAATTTTTTTAGTGAAAGTGAGAATTTTTTTTCAATGAAGGTAAAAATTTTTTAAGTGAAAGTGAAAATTACATGAACGCACCCCAGTATACTTTTCGAAAGCATTTTTTTCTCTCAATATCATGAGAGAAAATAATATGCCATGAATTCTTTAAATGTATGCAATAAAAAATTCAGCTCTAAAAAATGTCCCCTTAGTCGATTTTAAATTATGAGGAAAGTTAAAGAAACGTTTATATTAATTTTAAAGAATTAAAATAAATATTTAATTATAAAATACTGTGGTTAGATGTTTAATAAGTTTTATTAATTCCCTAATGAGGATAGTTGATAGGAATATTTTCAGTAAATTTTATTTACAATAACGTTTTAAAAATGTTTTTAAAAAATACATTTTTTCTTCTATTATTAATTGAAAAAAATTTCACTGTTTTACAAAAAAAAATTTATGTCAAATGTCTCAAATGTCTTCATTGAAAAATTTTATTTTAAATGAATTTTAAATTTTTTCAATGATAATAATATTATACTAGAATTTAAAAATAAATTAATTAGTTACATTTCACAATAGGAAAATTAAAAGAAGTTGATCAAAAAAGTTTAAAAATTAAATTTAAATTTCAAAACTAAAATTGAAGAAAATGTTAATATTCGTCAAAAACGGGTAAAATAGATGAAAAAATTTTAAACTAATGAAAGAAGATTAAATGATGATCTTTATGCATAAGGGTCAGTTCACTGACATTCGTCTGAGGTCTGTTGCGGTTATACTCTCTAAGAAATCTGGTTTTTCAATATGTAAAACTACAAGACTTCCTGAGTCCATTAACTCTAATATTATGATGTAAATTTTATTTTCAGATTTTTTAAAGTCTATAGACTTTTTTCTCAATGCTTCTAAAATTTTCAGTCTTCTCCGTATAATTTATTACTGATATAATTCACTTAATCTTAAAATTAGTAAAGTAATTATAACGTAAATTAAGATTATTAACCTATTGAGCAAATTTCAGAATTTTTTTTAATATTCTAAAACATTGTCAAAATTTTGGTTTATTAATATTCTTAACTAGTAAAATATTAAAAACTCTTAACTTTTTATAAGCGTAATTTTTGTTTTTAATAATTTTTTTTACAGAATAATATTTATATTTCGTATAATTTTCGATGCACCTAGTTTTTATTGCAAGTAAAATAAAATTAATATATATTTTTTTTATAAAATGTCAGCATTTGTATAAATTTTGTACATCTTGATTTTTCATTCATGGAATGATTATAAAAGCAAATTAATAAAAATATAAGTACTTTTGAAGTTAATAATGAAAAGATGCAATATTCTTTAAACAAAAGTAACATTTCATAATTTTCATCAAACCTAATAATAACTTAACAGAAATACATTGTCTCTTAATTAAAATATGTCATAATTTTTTTTTAATTACGTCAATAACCCCCAGACAAAAGTAAGTGGACTGATCCAGAAATTAAAATAAAATAATTCACTAATATGAAGGTTTTTCTAATACTTTTCAAATATAACTTTCTTTATCCATATTTTAATAAACTTGATCTTCTTTTTTTACTGATTCACACCCAACGTTTCTTTTTATTCGGAGGAATAATGTTAGTTAACATGCGACTTTGTATAAGACAAGTAAATTAAAGTACAAAAAGTACAACAATAATGAATCATCTTTATAAATGATATTTTATAATATAATTAACAATAAAGCCAAACATTATTCTTATGTACTCTAAAAGTTACTGCGGCATTAACCAATAAGCTTATCTAAACATAACATTTTAACATAAATGTCATAGAATGGAAGAACCATTTTACATTATTACAATGAAGTTACTGGAATAAGTATTGCTTGAAAAATACTTTACATGTCAAATTTTCAATGCGTACAGTTTAATTATTTTCTGTTTATTATAATAAACATAACATGTTTGCTCTTTACTTAATTTTACATTTCAAATGTACTTTTTTTAAACATATTAATAATTAACATAATTTTTAAAAATTTTAGATTTGTATACAGTAACATAAATTAAGTATAATTGTTAAATTTACTTTTTTAGTCTACAGGAAATAAAAAAAAATATAATTTCCAAAATTTAATAATTTCCAAAAAAATTGTTTCACTTTACAATTATCGATAATTTCAATAAAAGATTAAAAATTGTCCAACAATTGACATTAGATAGAAATAAATGCTTCTTATCTTTGGTTGATTTTATGTTTTTTAATTTAAAAAAAGTTTCCACAGCTAAAATCAGTGACGATTGATAATAAATATTAACGAACGATTGAGAAATAAAAATCAATTAAGTTTAACTTTAAGAAATATAATATAATTTAATTTTGTGTTTAATTTAAAAAAGCAAGCTTTGTACTTTGTTGCATTTGGTACATTGGATTCTTTATTGTTAAACTCAATTAATCTGTTATTAATCCTTTTTTCTAAATATTACGTATTTGCGATCTCACTGAATCCACTTGTGACTAAAATAATAAATAAACCAATTTTTTTTGTCAAATAACAAAATAAAATTTCATTTTAATTTCATTAACAAATTTCTTTAAATTTTTATTGAAATAATCAAAAAGATTGTGTCAGTGTTTCTTATTAGCATAATTTTCGATTTAAATTAATTTCTGCTAAATGTGTATAAAAGAAAATTTTTACAGCATCGTAATATTTTATTTTACAATAGACGTTGAGTGATTAACATTTGAAACTCACAGAGTTATACACTCTAAAACTAATAACAGAAATCATCCATCTACTTCATTTATAATAGAATATTTTTCTCAAAAACTATTACACTTGTGTATTGTCTACTGGAGCACATTTGCTTTTTAAATTTTTTTTACATTTATTATCATTCAAAATCTTCAAACTTAAAAATGTCTACTTTTTATGCATTTTTTTATAACAATATTCGAATTACAGAATATATTTTACTCTTGAAACAATTGTTGAACTGTTAATATATTGTTTCAACAAACAAGTGTTTTTTTTACAAAAAATGTTCAAAGAATGTCATTTAGTTTCACGGAAAATTCTATAAAAATTCTATACAAAAAAGTGTAGTATAAAAATAAGTATTTTAATAATCAACGAGAAACTAAAGCAGAGAATAAAAAGTCAAGACAAAAAATATATAGTAAAAATTCCACTACTTCAAATTAACATTTATCTTAATACTTTTTAGACAGCTTTTGCATGTTAAATTTAAAAAAAATTCCAAAAGTAAAAGTGCGTCAGTGAACAAAAAAAAATGCTTTCGTATATTTACATTACGATTTATGAATTATATTCCAGTGCAATAATATAATGAAAACAAAATAAAATATTGAAATTATCAAGTATACAATTAATCAGAAATGCGAAAAAAAATGTATAAATAATTTCATACTGCCATTAAAACAAATAACATTATTATAATTATTAAGAGTGATCAACAGTGATATCATTTAAAATGATATCTTGAAAAATGAAATTCAAAAATTTTTTTACAATAAAAAAAATCGATGCATCTTTAATTAATTTCAAGGATATAAATTATCTTACTTTGATTTCCAAACATAATGAAACTTAATAATTAAACAATTTTTTTTAAGAATATTTATCAACAAAAAAGTTTTCGAAAAATAGTTTTCATCTATTCTTTTTTCTTCGTTTCGAACACATCAACAAACGAAATTAAGAATTATATTTCTAATTTTTCTAACACTACTATGTACAATGACACAGTTGGGAATAGATGCTGAATTTCTAAACAATATTCACTTTATGAAAAAAAAGAAAATAAATTAACCTTAAATAGATCTTCGGCACTAGATGAGCTGCTGTTTGTCTATTTATACATTCAATTATATACATACGGGCATATATATGTATATAGAATGTACAATAATACATATGATAATACAAGTCATAAAAATATACGACTAAACATAATTGTTACAATATTTACTTGTAAGTGGCGATCAAAATTTATAAATAATAATAATAAAATTATATATGTATATTATATATAATTTCTTTTATATATCAAACTGCAGAATTGTAAAATCCATATACTGCGATTTATTTAATCAGATATAGTTAATATTCAGCAAATACAAGAAATGCTTTCATTCCTTTTCATATATTTGATGTTGGCAAATTAAGTGCAAAAAAAAAGAATACTCATTCGGTCCAATTGTTAAAGTCCTTTAGAATAAACTACACAGAGAACTTTAAAAATTGTACACATTTTCTTTTCGCACTAAAAATTTTAATTTCATTATAATTGTATTCTGCAGTCTTTTAATTTTTTGTCGCCATAAAATTTCAACATGAGTTACTATGAATGATATTTATAATCAAGTTTAATAGGTTGTTTTTGGATTTAGTTTTTAATCTCTACTGCGTTACTAAGTCCACATAATTTGCTGGATACAGGCCAACTCTGCCGTCTTTTCTTCCTTTACACCATCCTTGTTCGTCTTCTTCTTCTAATTTTTCGAATACATCACCTGAAAATTCATTTTTTTAAGTTTATTTTTTATAACAAATATAAAAGGTAAGTAAAAATTAAATAATTATGAATAAAAAAAGTATATATTGTAATTATATTGTAATTATATTGTAAAGATATGACTAAAACAATAATTTAAATTAAATTGAAGGAAGTGAATTTATCATTCGGTGATTAAATATTAAATTTGAAGAAGTTAACAATTTTCCCGAATCAATCTACACAAATAAATTAAATATCTTAAATAAATCTCGATAAGCTCATGGGCTTCAATGTATAGACAGCACAGCTGCCCTAATACAGAAACCTGCTTAATTTGAAAAATATTTTCGAAATTAATTAATAATTTCAAAATTATCAAAGAACTCAGAAAAAACGGTAGCATAGTGGGATACGAGCCCACGACCTTTCTATTGCCGGTAGACTGCTCTGACCACTGAGCTACATGCACCCCGAGACTTTTAATTAAAATTAAAATTAATTAAATTAATTAATTTAATTAATTTTTTAATTTAAATTAAACTTTTAATTTATATAATTTTATTATTGAAAGCAAAGAAAATAGAGAAATGTTAAATTTTTGAGTCAAATAATTTCAATAAAACTCACTATTAAAAACGATAATGAAATAACGACTTAGCTAATTATTATTTATTTTATTTAAAATTCTTTAAATTAATAAAACTTTAACATAATTAATAAAAGGCTTAGAAATATTACTTGCGATATAAATTACATATCTACCTTGTTTGAAGCTCAGTTCGTCTGCTTCTGCACCCTCATAATCATAAAGTGCTCGTACAGGTACACCTGGTTCTCCATTATCAACTAATGTTTCTCCGGCTTCTTCGTCCCATTCCTCTTCTTCAAAAGGATTCGATTCTTGTTTTGTTTTAGTGCCATTTCTGAAATTATAATTGTCAGATTATTAGAATAATAATAGAATAATAAAAAAAATAAATTAATAACTTGTTAAAGCAAACTATTTTTAAATTTATTTTGTCACTATAAATACAATTATTAAAAAAATAATTTGAATACAAAAAAGTGTGTAAAATATAAATGTTTTTTAACAATAATTTTCACAAGTTTATTAAATTCCGTTCCAATTATAATATATTTAGGTGATTTCTCTAAAAATTGTCATTTTTGTATTTTGATTTTTCATTTTATTTAATTTCACTTTTTTAAATAATTAGCATTACTATACGCGCGTAAGCAATTTTCAAAAAATCTCATTTCTTCAGAGTTTCTAAATTAAATTGTTCAAAACTTCAGTATATTTGTCAAATTAATATTTAAATCTCTCTTATTAAATTATTTATTTTTCCACATGAATTAAAATTTCAAATAATTTCAATGTAAAACCCTTTCAAATTAAAATTATTTCTAAAAATTACAACTACAATTCTTTCAAAATTCAATTATTTTATAAAATTTTTAAAAAAATTTATTCTGAAACTTTAATAATTTTTATAGGAATAAAATATATTAATATTTTTTATAATAAACATTAAAAATATTATTATACTCTTACAGCGATTAAAATTTTCAAAGATTTCAATTTAAAAACCTTTTAAAATTTCTGTTATAACGCTTTTAATATTCAATTATTTTCTAAAATTCCAACTGAAATTTTTTTTAATTAATTCTTATACTGAGACGAATAGAATTTTTATATTGAAATTTAAGAATAAAAATATATTAAATTAAGTAAAATAAAAGAGTAAGATAAATCTGATCAAAAATAAATTAAACAAATTCTATTCACATCCAGCGCGACCGGGTTCAGAGTTGCTGGAGCTCTATTTGGCGAGAAGAAAATATTAATAAATACGCGGACGCCAGTTAATTTTTATGAAATTAACAAAACACAGATAAATAAATTAGACACGAGATCACAAGGAGGGTAGCGTTGGGGAACCCTAACAAAATAATATAAAATAAAGATCAAGCGACTTCCAGGAATAAAACAAATTTATTAAATAAATCAAAAGAACATTAACCACTTACGTATTGTTGATCAAATATCGACTCTTGTCGATCTTTCTCTCTCAAATCAAGATTTTACAAGTCACATCGAACCACTCAAACAAAAGTTACAATATCAATTTTGAGATCACACTAAGCAGTTACATACAACAACGGTCGAACAAAGAGTAACGTGCTCTTTTTGAAAATTTGGTAATGCGTCAATTGATCGAATTATTGGCGCTTCAATCGATGTAAGGTCGCAGGGGCGAACTATTGACCTTACAACCCTTACCCTTATTAAAAAGATATTTGATCAATATATGGCTTGAAATAACGTCAGAATGACTTTCCCGTCACATTCTCCCCCTTCAGAGATGACGTTAGTTCAAGAAAAATGAGAACTTGAAACTAAACAAAAACAATTAATTAATCTGGAAAAATTAAATTGATAATTAATACAAAATAAGACAAGTAAAATAATAGTGATTAATGTCTGTAAGAAAAATTAGATTAATATCATTCTTGCTTCTAAAAATTAAGATATTTAAACATTCCTGGAAGTTTCTTAGTCAATGTATAATATGGTTCAAACAATTTTTTTAAACTAAGAAATCTTAAACATTTGTCAAGTTTGGGTTGATAAGAAATCAAAATTACCAAGGTTAGATATAAAAAAGAAAGAAATTTCGTTTAACTTAATTGTATATAAAATTATGAAAGTTGAATTAATTAGATCAAAAATAAATGAATAAATGAAACTTTGGTACAACCCTTGGTCAAAATTGATTCTTATTTTGTCGAAGTTTTTCAACAAAGAAAATGCAACGCATTGTCGAATATGCAATACAAAAAAAAGAATATACAGTCCAATATCGAAGTCAAAATCATATTTCGTTACTCTGGTACAAGTCCTTGTTCACAATGATGCTTTGATCATTCGATGCATCCAATTTGACGCTGGTACGATGACACGATATTCTTCTCCATCTTCCAATTCCGGTCTGAGCCTCATCACTTTGTCAAGTGTCATATTAGCAAAAGATGTAGTCAGCTATATTCTTTTTGTCTTCCGCTAATTGATGAAGTCCAGGCACAGTTGGATTTGCAGGCTCTTCAACAACAGGCAAAGCAATCTCTTTGATCAAAAATTGTCTGATTCGATTTGCTGAATCAGGACTGTCAAAACTATCCTTGCCCTTGCGTCGAAGCTCTTATACTTCTGCCTCCTTGATCATCTGATCTCTCAGAACTGACTCACTTGTCATCGTTGTATAATTTGGACGAAGTCAATCAACATATGGAAAGATGCAGTCGTCAGTTCCAATCCATCAGCTCCACAGACACGGTAAAATCAAGACCTCATCTTGATCTAACACTGACCAAAATCCCTTCATCAGCAATTCTGCCCTCTTGATAATAAGCATTTTCAATAACTTATCGGACAAAATTCTGTAGTCGGTCCTGTAAATTGGTGAAGACTGGCACTCCTGAATGATCAATTTTAGCATTCCGAGTTCTTCCCGAGCTCCGTCAAAATCTGGAACATCCTTCATAGTATAAGGCAAGCGCTCCACTTTTACTGAAGATGTAATAACCGCCGCAGGATCATCTGTCGACCTGGAAATATATCCCTCGACAATCTTCGACTCCTTTAGCCTTGAAAACTTATTCCTTTAGAGACTCTCAGCATCAATTTGTTGCTGAGTCAACCTGATTGTTCTGGTTAATTTAACTGGTTCGGGTTTTCTCGATTGAATCTCGTCAATAAGATCTTGAGTCTATGATGTGACTTCCCAACCTGCTGATCATCAAAATTCAATCTGGGAGACATCATGGAATAATCGGGAAAAGCCGTCATCTAAGTAACTTTCCCTTGAGTCAGTGCAATCTTGATAGCTGATCACCTGCTGATCAAAATCCCACATCAGGTCGTCGATCTTTTCTTTAACTTCCCGAGTTGATCCAATTTCTCTCGTACATCTGATTCAGCTAGTTCAAAATTCGAAGCTATCTTGAACTCAACAAGCGATTCAGTCAGACCAGAATTCTCTGTGATCTCCCAGGAACAAGGTTGATGATTCCGCAAAATGTCGTTGCTTACAATCGATCTACAAAACAATCTTATAACAATCGCAAACTTCGACGTAGTATTTTCTAATTTGATACAGAATACCTGCCAACAACTCTACAATTGTTGTCTGTCAGTTGGACTATACCTAGACCACAAATTTTACAAATAAAAGCAAGACCTAAGTAAAGGTGAGCCAAACTTGAGGAATATCATTCAACTTTACTATTTAACTCATTATTCGGATAATAATCCTCTATACCCTCTTTAAGTTCAACTGACATTATCTCTATCGGCATGCGACTTGGCGAATCGAGCAATTTATGATCAAATCATGATTTAATGATTATTATAAATCATGATTTAATCATGATTTATGATTGCTCAATTTATGATTGATTCATTCATTCTCGATTTTATGACGAAATTCGTCAATGATCTTTATGTGATCAATCCAAGTTATTACCGCGTCGTCGACAAATTCGTCAATGCTCATATCGGACTCGTCTGATTTTAATTCTCGCTAAGCTTCGTGACCGTAATTTCAGAAAACGGAGGACTCGAGTACCGGTATGAATCACAGTTTACGAACAAATTGTTTATTTGATAAATTTTCATCCCGTTCTCTACGATCTTAATCTGTATAAGCGGAAATTATAGGTTTTATCATTCGATCTACATGCTCGATCGGATTACTTTGAGAATATGCTAACAGGTTAGTAATATGTCTAACGTCTCTGGCCAGTAAGTACGCTTTGACATCTTTGTTTATAACTTCTCTCCCGTTATCGGTCACTTTAGTTTCCGGTATTCCCAAAATCGATAAACTGTATCAAGTACTTTGACAACTATTATCCTGTCCGACTTCGAACTGCAACCAAGTCTAAAAACCCAACAAATAAGTCATGAACAACCATATCCGAATTTCCATCTTTAGAACGAGTTTGAGGCATTACTGTGTCAATCAACTTTTATCGCTAACCAACACATTCTGAAAATCTGTACTTTCGCTTGTCAAATTTAAAGACTCTTTATTAAGAAAGCTTTTTAATCTAAGAGATTACTTAATTGAAAAACTCTGGAAAAGATTAAAACCTGAACAACGTTGCGATATGAATACGTATGTTTACCATAAATGTTTACCATAAACATCACCCATGTCAATCCCAAAAGAAGTTCAATCTTTGGTTTTAAAAATTAATCCATCACCCAACCGAACTCCACTCTCAGAAGTAAAATTAGGTGAAAGATATTGTAACTTATTTCCAATTTTTCAATAACTCACAATCAACTTCCTTTACAGGAACTAACTTTCCTAACTCGTCTCTAGTGATTATCGATAACTGACAAGATTTTCTATTTCACATCAAACCAGATTATTGATCTCGTTTTCAGAGTCGAAAGAACAAACTCTAACTAAATCATTGGTTTGATCTATATTAAATAAAAACTTAAGTTGAATATTCAGAATTTGATACTGTTTTTTGTTGATTAATTAATTTATCAAAATTCTGATTCAATTTCTGTTTATTAAACAATTGATTTTTTCGAGATCTGGGTCCATTTCTAACACGATTAGATTCACGATTCTGAATCATGTTCAAACTACTTTCCTGATAAATATGATTTATTTTCTGAAGTGTCTGATTGATCAATGATCATCTACCTGGTCATTATCGGAATCCATTTGATCTTTTTACAACAAACAAATCCGTTTTAGGGTGTGATACTGATTTTTGAATGTCAGTTGAACAATTAAAGATGTAATTACGTTCATTGACATTATGTAATAATTTCTGATCATTCTTCGAAGTCAAGTTCAAAATTTCAAATAAATGATAAAATGAGGGTTAAATGAGGGTT